ATGGCTGCAATATAACAAAGAGTGAAAAATTTAAGGGGGTCTGAATACTTTCCGTACCCACTGTATATATATATATTTTTTTTTTTTCCTATTTCTATTTAGCTTTATTTTTTATATAAATTTATATTTATTTAAGTTTTCGTAGTTTTAGTACTTTATTTAGAACATTTTATATTAGTTAGTTGCCATGGCTAATTTAGTTCAATTTTTAAGCTAATAATTATATTTGATTGTATTTTAGCTTTATTTCAATTATCAAATATTATATTTAATAGACTTAGTTTTTGTTTTAGTTAACAATAACAACACTGTTGACTACGTGACTAATGGGACATGATTTTATACATGAGTTTTTTTTAATAATTTGTAATTTACTATTTATTTATTCTGTTGTCCTGCACATTTCCTATTTTTCTGAGCATAGGTAGTTTTTTTTTCTTTTGTCGTGTTTTATCTTGCTTTATCTTCTTTTATCATGTTTTATCTTGAGAAAAAGCTCAGGCAAAAAAAAGTATAATGTTGCATCAATCCACAATAGAAATATTGTAAACTTTTTTTCATCTAAATAACTCTGGGCAAATAAAATATGTACATTAGATTTTTAAAGATCCCTGCTTTCAAACAGATAAGCGTTGGTGAGTCAAATACAGCAATGATGAACGCCTTGATGCTGCTGCTATGACAACACTTTGCTTTCAGGGCCGGTTAAAGGCAATGACAGTGTCAATGACATTTCAAAGGCATTTCTATTCAGTGTTGACTCATCTTTCTTTATGGACACACCCTTGAGTTCCTTTCAAGGATGAATTAAGGATATTGTCAGGCTAATGATGTTGTCACCGCCTTACTTTGATTTGTGTCTGTTTGCATTTGGTTCCTCTCATGTAAATTTCCTTATTCCCACTGTCTGTTTTAATGAACATACCTTTGCCTACTACGTTGATGGAGATAAACCTGGTGGCATTGGTGCGGTACTCGTAATTGGAGAATACAAGGGTGCGGTCGAAGAAACATCGATAGGTGCCGGTGTCGTTGAAGGTGACGTTAAGGATGTAAATTGAGCCGTCCTGCACATCACGAGTTTTTTTACTGCCGTTCCAGGCTAGGCGTTCATCGAAGCGGTCATTCATTATGTAGCCTGTCATGTCTGCATAACTGTAGATCTAATTGTAAGAAAAAAGAGCTCTTATTAGCTTGTGAGACTGCTATGACAAATAACCAGTGTGAAGGACACAGTATCTATGCAGCACCCAAAAATTCTCCAGTACTTTGTGTCTCTAAAAATAGCTGTTAAAAAGGCACAAGGTCAGTGGTTGACTGTTGTCTTTGTCTGTATTTTATAGTGATGTGTCGTTCAATTTGAACGAATCTTTAATATGACTCTGGAACATCGAGTTGTCTCAGCGAGGGGTTCGTTCATTTCGTGTTGACTGCATATGCGCAACATCCTATTGGTTCTTTACAGGAAACAGAAATTATTAGTTCACCTCTCGAATCTTCGGGTTGGGGTTCGAGTCATTCGTTCATCCCGTGACAGCCCCATAGACTAGAGGCTATGCAGCCTGTACCGAAAAGAGAAATGATTAGTTCACCTCCCGAGTCTTCGAGTCTGAGTCGTTCGTTCGTTTTTGTCACATGACGTGACCGCAGTATCGGATACAGAAATGAGTTAATAATTTCCAACCTTCCTTACAAACATGCGCGTAGTCATTTTTTTAACTCTTACAGTTACGTGATGTGTTTATGATCTCAATTTTTTTTTTATTTCTTACAAGTTAATTACAACAACGAACAACTCCGATCGGGAGGTGAGGTAAACTAACAAGACTGCATAGCCTGAAGCAATGAATTAATCATTTCTTTTTCTCATAATTTGGCCTTGGTTTATAGTTTTTTTTCTTATTCGAAATGTGATCAATGTCGCGTAAGTAGATGTGTTGGGGAATTTGGCTATTAACGTTTAACACTTTAATTATATTCTGCTGAAATTAATGAAAAAGATTGGTTCATTTTGATGAACGAGATTCAAAGATCTGAGTCAGTAAAATGATCCGAACTTCCCATCACTAATGTTTTACTCTACACTGCCCCCTGTCTACAGAAGAGCACCATCAGCTTAAAGGGATAGATTACCTAGAAATGAAAATTTTGCCATTTACTCACCCGCAAGTTGTTTCGAACCTGTACAAGTTTCTTTCTTCTGCGAAATACAAAAGAAGATATTTTGAAGAATGCTGGTAACCAAACAGTATGGAACAAAAATACTATGGAAGTCAAATGCTACCGTTTTGTCAACAGTTTGTTTCCAACATTCTACAAAATATCTTCTTTTGTGTTCAACAGAAAAAGAAACTTGTACAGGTTTGGAACAACTTGATGCTGAGTAAATGATTACAGAATTTTTATTTTGGGTAAACTTTCCCTTTAATTGTCTTGGAAAAGCTGTAAATGTCATGTGATTTTCAATGTGAGTTTTTCAAAGTCATGTAAATGAGTAAAATATATTTTTATATCATAAAAAATAATAAAAACAATATATTAATATAATAAAAATAATAAACAAGAGAGTTTTGGTCTTTTCTAAAATAGTTCATAGGCTAGATGGTGTTCTTGCACTGAAAAAAAATTTGGTGTAGGAGTTACTTATATAATTTATAATAATTTAAATACTTTTTTACACGATACATTGCTAGTAAATTCCACAAATATTTACAAAAACAACACATTGAATTCAAATTAATTTTTCAAGTAGAAAGACTGAAATAGTATTTTCTTGTAATATGTAGTCCAGTTATCTTTGTTTTATTTGCATGAATCATTGTTACAGTGTAGAAGAGTGCAACATTCAACAGGGATTACATTTATACTTTATTACATTTAATTATCTATGAAATGATTTTATAAATCCTTATCCAGTAGTGTGGAGAGGTCATGGAACTGAATTGGATAAAAAATGTGGAAACCCTGAAAATTGCAGGACATAGAATTTGCTTTGCATTACTTTTAATATGCCAATAATCTCACATTTTTTATTAAATTGTTTATATTAAATATTAAATAATATTATAAAGTGTATAAGTAGCAGCTAATTGTTCTAATGGCAAAGGACTTAAACTGCCTTCCTCGTGAAGTGTCCACATATTCCGCTCGGGAATGTTCCTTGCTGAAAATGGTGTGCAGTAATTCACTTCTGACCACAAAGACCATCATAAAAAATGCATGATCTTGGCTTTGCATAAAAAATGCAACAGTTTTAGATCTGCTTTGGGGTTTAGATATTTTTTTTTTTTACCATTTACCATTATTTTGTGCATTTTTCACGCAGGCACACGGCTGTACTATAGCTCTTGGACAAAAAAAGGGGTTTAAAAAAGCAACTGCGTGATGCAATTAATTTTGGCAATGCATCGTGTGCAGCTTAAAGGTCCCCTGAAATGCTTAGAAACACGCAGCGTTACTCTGTGTTGACGTCATTTTAACTGAAACAGGAAGACATCTTCTAAATGCGAATTTTGTCACTGTTTTGGAGCACACTGCCTTATAGATAACCTTAAGACTAACATATTGATACTAACACCCAAAAAACTTTTTATTTTGATTTCATGGGGACTTTAAGCTGTAATGCATGGTCTTTGGTCTCATACTCACATATGCAAATTCACTCTCGCCTTTGGCCATGAACCACCAGTCCACTGTGGCAGAGGCCAGTACTTCTCCTCTCATCTTGCAAGAGATACAGCCTAATTTGAAGCCTCGACCCATCACTGCCTCCGTGTCCGAGTCCACCTCCACACATGCCCCATGGCAGAGCCAAGCTACAGGAAGAACAAAACATTCAGTGACAGAAACATCTGCTTGACTTCATAAAACACTCTATTAAGTCTTAACGATGCCCACTTTTTTGTTTTGAACTGACAGGCATTAGTATGTCTAAATCTTTTTATTTATTTTTTGCATGCGTTCCCATTTTTTGGGGAATTATGCATGCTGGCTGTTTTAGTTCAAGAAGAGCATTTTCTTGCACGCTTTATTTCTACTCATGAAAACTGACTATGCATTAAAATAGTTCAAATTATCTGTGATCTCAGAGCACAGTATTTGCTTTTTTTTATTTTTTTCTTGTCCTAACAGAAAAAAAGCTTTGAGGGGAAATAAATTGTTAGCGGTGAGCTATGATCCTTTTTTCGAGTCATTAATCTATTTTCATATATAGATGCAAGTCTCTATATATGCCAGGAAGTCGCAAACACTAGCAAAAAATAACACACCTGATATTCCAAGTATCTTTCTCTCACACTTCACCCTGCAGTTTCCACAGAGACATCTGCATCGCTTTCAACCAATGATCTTTTTGTAATTCTGACCTCTGGAGAAGTATTTATATATGTGCAATGAGATGAGGGACAGGAAACATCGCACACACATCAATCACAGCTACAGATTTACATTATTAACTAGAGTAATCCTGCCGGACTTTCTGCGATTTAGATTTTTTACTTCACTGTAATACTCAGGAAAACAACATTTACAATTTGCTTTTGATGGCTGAGAGGAAAGGAGGAAGGAGAAAAAGAGTAAACATTTTAGCCACATAAACTGGAAGACAAGAGAGGAAGAAAACAAGAGAGAGAGAAAGAGGGAGACAAGAGTTAAACGTTTTCAGCGTTACATCCATCACATCACTGATCATCATTGACAGATTATTGATTTATTGGCTTCTGATTGGCTGCAGAGAGGAAGAAGAAGGGTAGATTGGGAGGAAAGACAATTATCATCATAGATATCCTACAGTTTTGGAGGAAAGGGGAGGAAGGGTATAAACACATGCTGACACACTCCTAAAAACAAGCAAACCAATAAATGGCTGAGATATAAATTTGATACTTTAAAAAAAAATAAAAACACTAAAAACTGCAATTAATTAATTTAATGAGGCATCACACCTTTGTAATGTACAGTATGTCAGTGGATTTCAATTTTGAGATTTGCTAAAGATTCCACCCAGGTAACAAAAATATATTCTAAGAACGTTTTGCTAATGTTCCCATTAAGTTATATAAACGTTATTTCTGAATGTTCTCTTTTTAATGAGAGTATCCTTTTTTAAATGTGACCCTGGACCACAAAACCAGTCTTAAGTGTAAATTTTTCAAAATTGAGATTTATACATCATCCGAAAGCTGAATAAATAAGCTTTCCATTGATGTATGGTTTGTTATAGGATAGGACAGGATATGAATATTTGGCTGAGATACAACTATTTGAAAATCTGGAATCTGAGGGTGCAAAAAAATCGAAATATTGAGAAAATCGCCTTTAAAGTTGTCCAAATGAAATCCTTAGTACGGTAGCCGAGAAGTGCAAAACAAATCACAATTCTGAAAACAAAATAACAAATTACAAACGCAAATGCAAGTCTAAAAAACTAAATAACAATTCAGAAAACACAACAACAATTCAGAAAACATTATAACAAGTCAGAAAACACAATGACAAATCAGACAAACCGGAAGAGGTAGGTATAGTTTGAGACAGCGCCATTGGTTTGGGATTACTCACCGCTGACTGGACGAGACATCTGTCAATCAACGTATACAGGAAGAACCAGCCGAAGAACAGCAGAGTCGTGGTAGAAAGTTCGGAGATGGTATTAAAGTAGCTCAGTTTAAATGTATTGTATGAATTGCCCTTACTATGGAATAAAAAATACGGAGTGTCTATTTACACTTAGTGCAAATAGAAAGGGCAAAACGGCAAAAGGCGGGATCGAACCTGGGTCGATCGCGTCAAAAAGCCAAAGACACGTGCTTATCCATCTGCGCCACTGGAGCTGGTAGTTTACAGCCACTTTTAACTAAATGTAAATATACACTCCATATTTTTTATTCCATAGTAAGAGCAATTCATACAATACATTTAAACTGAGCTACTTTAATACCATCTCCGAACTTTCTACCACGACTCTGCTGTTCTTCGGCTGGTTCTTCCCTGTATACGTTCATAAAAGAAAAATCTATGATTTTGACCCATACAATGTATTTTTGGCTATTGCTACAAATATCCCCGTGCAACTTAAGACTGGTTTTGTGGTCCAGGCTCACAAATGTTTTTTAAAAAATTCTTCTAGGTTATGCAACCGTTAGAGAAAACAGTAAGGGAACTTTCTTTTTGAGAACATTATGAGAACGTTAGTTTTGAATGTTCTCTGGGCGTTCTGAAACAAGTAGTAACGTTTAAAAAAACGTTAAAGAATCCAACTAAAATGTTTCAGAAAAACCATTGTATAACCATCGTAAAAAAAACAAACAAAAAAACATGTATAAATAACGTTTTTTTTGTGCTAATGTTTTGAGAATTTCATTAAAGACCAGATAATCAGATAACATTCTATTAATGTCACTGGAGGAACGTTTGTTCATAACTTTGAGAGTCTTGCTGGAACAATTAGCCAAAGTTCTTAGAACATTCCCTGTTACTTGGGCATTTTACAGTGATTTCAATCTATTATTGTTTTTAATGATTAACTGCGCAGTAGAATGTTTTCTTTCTTTTGACGTGCATACAAGTGTAACGCTTATTGGAAAAGAAAAAATGTAGAATGAGGACTTTCCATCGGTTGTTGATTAGATTTTGAGGTGTGAGCATCGCACTCAAAAGTGAATGTGAGCTTGCAGTCGATTGCAAGAAAATGTAGAGGGGTTTAAGCAGACCGATTGGAGAAGTACGACATGCGTCACAAAAAGATCAATAACATGCATTTACAAAACAGATGAAGGGTGAATTTTGATTTCATGCTGACTTTAGATGACAGCAAAAAAGATCTGGGGATTTTTAGGAATCGAAATAGGCAGATACATCAACGAACACTATAAAGTGTGGGATGGAAGGAGACATTGCCCTTTAAAAGCAAAGGAGGGACAGTATATGCACAATAAGATGACCTCAGATCTGTCAAAAATTCCCTTCTACACTTCTATCAGTCACTGCAGCGGAAGAGAGTTATTACATAACCCCTTTTTACAGATTATGCAATTTATTCCAGATTAGACTGCACAATGGGCGCTTAATCCTGGGACAGAATTAATGCATTAAAGAGTTGAATTAAGCGCTTTTAACAACTCCTTCATGATGCATTTTTGGACGGAAATGTGAGAGACCAACACTTTTGCAAATGCTTTTACCCATAGCAACTTTTCATTCAAGGAAACATTTGATCAGTTCATGCATTTCCTGGGAATTGAACCCATGACCTTGGTGTTGTTTGCTCTACTGTGGTGCAATGAGACAAACAAAGATAGAGAAGAAAAAGCCTTTTGAGAGCTGATTCAGGCTTTCTACATGAAAACAAGCAACCGGGGACAACGTTTCCATGCCAGCCAGCAGTCTCAAACTGTATAGCAGTGACGTATACAGTCTGGCCTCTTGGGAAATGGCAAAGATCTGTGACAAACACAGAGCTCCAGGGTAGAGACTTTCCATAGAAACAAGGGCTCTTTGATATGTCGCCCAATATGTGATATCATGTTGGCCAGTATTTTAGTCAGTGTGGTCTAACAATCGTCCTATTGAATCCAAATGTTCTCATCTCCATCCACTCCAGTTTTTAATCGAATCTCTAAAATGAATCCACAATGAGCGATTCTATTGGTGACCCAATGGTCAAGGGTAAATGGCAAACAGCAGTGATATTTCCCCAGGCGACTAGATCTAATGACAAAGCCTGTTCTTTTTTAGCACTAAGACTGTTTTTCCGCATCCATTCTTGAAACTGGGATGACGAGTGGGCTGCGCTGCAGTTTCTCTTTTCCTCATGCAATTGCCATTTCCTCAACTTCTCAATGTAACCGATGTGAGCTTTAAATATTAAACCAGCGAAAGACGTCGTTTATACATTATGTCCTTGTGTGCCCATGCCCAGATTTAGCATTCACATTCTCTGCGCCCTCCCCCACCATCTCATCCTCTTTCTGACGCGCGCATTCAAACACAACTTTTCTCATACACACGTCAGTTATCCACAGTGCCAGACCCGTGCGTGCACAAAACTTGCATCAGAAGGAGCATGACAGCGCTACACTGTAAAAAAAAAATTCCCCCCCCCCAAAATAGAGAATGTGCTGGCAGAAAATTACCGGGACATTTTCCTGTAAGTTTGCGGACATTTCCTTCAACTCTAAAACGGAAAATTCTGAAGATTTACATTAACTTCGGTACCATTAACGGACAATCTGTTATGCAGAAATTACTAATTTATTACTAAAATTATAGCATATCCTTAGTAGCAAATAAATCCAGCACAATATATAAAAATTGAACATGGTTTATTTTTACCTTATATAAACTTTCTTAGTGATGCATTCAATGGCTTTTGTTTGCCTTAAACAGGTTAAGTCGAAAAGATTATATGACATCAATTAATTGAACAATGTGCAAAGCACCAATGAAAAGTGCTTGTACTGTGGAAGACTTGTAAGCTTTAATCAGCAACAGGCAGAATTAAAAAAATAAAACATGATTGGTATAATTTACCACAAAAGTGTAAGAATGGATTCCCCAAACCTCAAATCCGACTTTAAAATGAAACTTTGACCTGTCTGATCTTCGTGAATAATGGCGCCTGGTCTTGCACTGTTTTCGTGCCGATATCGACTTAGGTTCTTATTCCCACAAAGCGTAAGAATAGCTGTAAAAGCCAAATACTGCTGATTCGGCTGCAAATCTGCTTAGAATACAAAGACCTCGCTCCTCATTGGTTTGCCTGTTTCTATAGCCTCTGTTTTTAACCTCTGTTAAATTATTAATAGCCATCTTCTTT